AGACTGAATTTGTTTTCTATTTGTCTTTCTTCCTGCTGTTAGGAGAGGATGCAGCTCGTGCCTCTCCGTGGGAAGCTTGTAACTACATAGTTTTGTATTAATGAAACTTGTCTTCTTATTTATCAAAAAAAATAAGAGCCCCCACCATTTGTACTTGTACTTCCTTGGACTGCCAATGCAACCGACTCCTCCTCTGCACAATTCATCACACTCCTACTCTCTTCAGACTGAACTAAGGCATAAACCTCCTGGACTGAAGGCAAGTCTTTACTGCCCAAGATTTTTACCCAGATAGACTTGTACATTGAGTTCAGCCCCAAAAGAAAAGCAAATACTCGCTGTTGGGAGACAAGTGGCTTGTAGGTCTTTGCATCTTCATCACATTTCCAATTCACACTTTGATAATGGTCCAATTCCTTCCAGATTGATGTCAAGTTCGAGTAATACACCGAGAGACTCCTCTCCCCCTGCTTGCAAGTGGAGGATTCAGCTTGCAATTGATATATCTTTGCATAATGCCCCTGCTCCGAATAGGTAGATTTTGCTTGCTCCCATATTTCACAAGCTGTTCCAGCCCATATAAATGTTTTCCTTACTTGTGGCAACATGGAAACTAAGAGCCACGACATCACCATACTATTCTCTTGATTCCACCTGTCATGTTCAGCACTTTCATCCTTTGGTTCCTTCAATTTACCATTAATATACCCTATCTTCCCCCTAGCAGTAATGTAGAGTTTAATTCCCCTGGACCATTCAAGGTAATTTAGTCCATCAAAGGGAATTACAGCCATGGGGAAACTCATATCCAGCCCCCCACCCATTGAAGTTTGATTTCCAGGAACCCCAGAAGTTGCAGAATTCTTAGAAGACATGGTTCCATTCACTATTCAGCCTCAACACACCTTAAGATCCCTCCTGACACCAAAAAACAGTCCTAGAAACACACCAAAGATGCAACTCACATGCACACATTGCAATCTAGACATAGTCTGAATACAGACCAGCTTTAATTCTCCAAGAAAAAAAAATTTAAGTTGATTTCAGCGCTGTACTGCCTTAACAGTCACAATCCACCAAACTTCCAGATCACCCAAACACACCGACTACCATGAGGGGTCATAAAACAGTGCCATCACACCAAAACGGTTAAAAACAGGTCATCCACGACCTACAGGTGTTCTATTTTCTGGTACAGGATCACACGATCCATAGAAAAAGAGGTTAGAACCTCACAACTTCTCTGACAGCATTCAAAAGTCTCGATTCATTGGTTTTTTCTTGGTACATGACCAAGAGAAAAGGAGAAGGAATAAAAAATAAATTGTCTCAGTCGTAGGTTGTCTTTTCTTACTTCAGTCTGGAAAGATAGTAGGATTTAGAAGAAAAACTTGTTCGATCTGCTCTCAAACCCAGTAGAACCGCTCTAATACCATATTAACAGAAAGAATGGAAGGAATAGAAAGGAGAAGAGAGGAGAGAGAGAGAGAGTGAAGATAGATGAGAGAAGAGAAGAGAGAGTTTTTGGAGAGAGTATCGGTTCTGGTGGCACCAGAATATTTTATTATATATAGGGCGTCACTTAAAAAAGGGGAAAAGACCCTTATGCCCCTGCGGTACTTACAGTGTATAAACAATATAGAACTGAATATAAAACTGAACTATTTTAACATAGTAAACAGAAAATAAGGTAAACAGAATAATAAACTAAACTATTCCAACACAACATAACATATCGTAGTTGGATCGGACCCATAAGCTTAATATGGATCAGATCCATACACCCCCAATGGTGCACTACCACCACAAACCAATATGAAATTTTGCCTTCAGGTTTTTCTCAACTTGATTTGGAGTGGGTCATGAAGCGGGTTGCAATAAAGAATTCAAGACACAAACACAATAAATCTCCACCTTGGCTTGAATTCCCTCAAACAACACAAATAACAATCTCCCTCCACCTTCTCCACATAGGGCCTAATGGGCAAACTCAAGTACTACATACACCAACTAAGTCCAAGCAATGCTTGGATTTAGCCTACAGAAAGAGACTTTGTCAACATGCTAGCTAGGTTGTATGCAACACCATTCTTTACAATAATATCTCCCTATTCAACAACATCACAAACAAAATGGTACCTGACATCAATGTGCTTCGTCCTCTCATGATAAATTTGATCCTTGGTTAGATGAACAACAGTGACCATCAAGATAAACAACAGTAACCTTTGATACCAAACTGAGTTCTCCAAGCAAACCTCAAAAATAGATAGCTTCTTTAACCACCTCAGTCACTGACTGCCATATACTCAGCCTTAGTAATAGATAATGCAACTGTGGACTGTAAAGTGGCTTTCTAGCTAACAACACAACCACGAATTGAAAACACATAACCTATAAGTGACCTCTTGTCAAAATCACCTGCATAGTCTGAATCAACATAACCCATCAAACTGTGGCTACTCCTTCCAAACTCTAAACAAGCATTTGAGGTTTCTTTCAAGTGCTTGAGAATCCACTTCACTGCCTGATAGTGTCTCTTGTTAGGACAAAACATATATCTACTCGTAACACTAACTGCATGTGAAATGTCAATACGTCTGCAAACCATAACATACATAATACTACCAATTGCATTAGAATAAGGGACATGTGACATATATTTCACTTTATTTGTTTGTGGTGACATGGAGAAAGACTGCCACTTTGTTAGGGAAAAGGTCTCAAGTAGAGAAATTGTTACACCCTATGTAAGGTCAGAGGATCAGCTACTGACTTGTTTATGAAGTGGTTAAACCGGGCTCGGATGAATCACATATGTAGTAAGTTGGAGCTTTAGAACATATATGCTCCAACTTGAGGGTGAGTGTTAGAAGTTGGTTTATATTTCTACTATTCTTTAGAGCCAACAGTTGGGATCACTTGTATGATCTCTTCCAAACTCACAGCCCTTGTTTTTATTTTCTTCTCTATTCTCTCACGTCTTCTTCTCTGTTCTCTCTATTTCACATCTGTTTTTCTTATGTTTTTTTCATTATTAAGAGCAGATTAGGTTTGTTACCAAATGCCACATATTCTCCCTTCAAAAATAAAAAGTTAAATGATAGACAAGAAATGGATAAACTTATAATTAGTTTTGGGAGAGTCAACTGAATTGGCATAGTAAGAGAGTTTTCATTCTTTCATTGTAAAGAACATGGTATGTGAAGGCCAGTGCTGGTAAAACATAAATCATTGGTACATAGAATCATTTGAGATTATTCTCAAGTCAGCTGATACCAATTGTTTTTCCAAGCTTTGATGAGTTATCCTTCCAATTCAAACTGAATCTTAAATGCCCTCAAATTGATTTGTGACCCTCTTTGCATACATTGTTAAGTCCTTGAGAAAATGAAGTTTGACAAAGTCTTGAAAATTTACGGTGCTTGAATATGGAAAAGAGGATGTTGAGAAATATATTGTATTTGGTTGTATTTGGATTGATTTGTAATATTGATAAATTATAGGGACTTGTATGTATTTATGGGAGAAAAAGGGGCTTCTGTGTAATTCTAATATATTTTAGTCTTTTGCTTATTTAAGCTAGTGGTTGTGTGAGGAAGAGTGTGAGTGAGTGTGTGTGTGAGAGAGAGAGAGAGAGTTGCATCTCTTATTCTCACAATGGATATTTTTCCTCTCCTCCTGTGGATGTAGGCTACCAAGCCAAACCACGTTAAATCTTGGTGTTCTCTTTATTTCTTTTTGTTTTCTTCTTGATGTGCTATTCTATTTTATGTTACTTGATATGGTATCAAAGCAGGTGTTCCGGTTATTGTGAAGGTGTTCTGGTTGTTGTGAAGGTGTTCTGGTTGCTGTGGAGGTGTTCCATTGCTCTGCTATTTTATGTTCAGTTAAGGTAGTAGTCGACTACTACGATGGTTTTGTGAGTTGAAAAGGGCGCTTTGATGCCCCAAGTTGTGGCTGTTTGTGAGTTGGTTGAAAAAGAAGTTATGATGCCTCAAGTTGTGGTCGTTTGATGGTTGGTTAGAAAAGTGGTTATGATGCCTCAAGTTGTGGTAGTTTCTTGTTTGGTGGTTGGATGGAAAAGGGGCTTTGATGCCTCAAGTTGTGGTTGGTTGTGATTTTGTGAGTTGCAAAAGAGGTTGTGATGCCTCAAGTTGTGGTTGTTTGTTGGTGGTGGTTTTGTGAGTTAAAAAAGGGGCTTTGATGCCTCAAGCTGTGGTTGTTTGTTGGTGGTGGTTTTGTGAATTGGAAAAGAGGTTATGATGCCTCAGGTTGTGGATGTTTGTGAGTTGGTAATGGTTTGTAGTGTGGTGATAACTTTATTGGTGAACGTGTGAAGCACCCTTGGGTGTGTTGGTGAATTGTTGCTTTAGAGGTCCCTTCAACATCTCAAGGTTCATAGATGTTACTTCAATATTTAATCTATTTCCATGGAGGTTGCTTTAACATCCTTGCTTGCAAACTCAAACTGATTTTCCCACCCTGAGTTTGAGGGGGCATGTTGAGAAATATATTTTATTTGGTTGTATTTGGGCTGATTTGTAATATTGATAAATTATGGGGTTTTTGTGTAATTCTGATATATTTCAGTCTTTTGTGTATTTAAGCTAGTGGTTGTGTGAGATTAGGGTTTGAGGAAGAGTGTGAGTGAGTGAGTGAGAGAGAGAGAGAGAGAGAGAGAGAGAGAGAGAGAGAGTTGTGTCTCTTCTTTTCATAGCGGATATTTTTCCTCTCCTCCCGTGGATGTTGGCTACCAAGCCGAACCACGTTAAATCTTGGTGTTATCTCTATTTCTTCTTATTGTCTCCTTGATGTGCTATTCTATTTTATGTTACTTGACAGAGGAAAATGAAAAGTATATGGTTGGTCAAAAAATATAATTCTTGAACAAGGGAAAAATATGTGCATGAAACATTATGGATATCATAATTACTGTATGAATAAAATATGATGAATTTTGAAATAAATGCTTGAATCTTGTCTTTTAATGTTTCCAGGTCCAAGTAGTCTTGATATCTTGCAAGGACATTCAAAGGCAACTATGTTTTTAATATGCAATAATGCAGCACAAGGAATTTTGTCCTCATTTTTCTTTAAATATGCAGGTTTGTTTTATTTTAGATGTTGTACTTTTCATTTTTATTTATATTTATGTTTGTCACTTGGGGACCATTTGGTTCACAGTTGGATTGGAATTGGAATTGCCTATTCCCCCTGTACATTTTGGTTCAGATGGGAATCAGAATCGGATTTCATAAGATATGCACGACTCTCAAGGAGGGTTGGTGTCCTCTAAAGGGAAATAGGACCATTAGTTCTCTAAAGGGATTCCCATTCCCAAGGGGGGAGTCCAGAAAGGCCATTCCCTCAAATTGCTATTCTGCCAAGAATGGGAATTGGAATCCCACTTTGCTTAACCAAATTGGCTGGAATCCAATTCCAAACCCCTATTCCCACCAACCAAATGGACCATTAGTTCTCTGAAAGAGCAATAAATTAATATTTGTGCAATAGGTTATGTTTCTGTTAACCATCAGAAAAAATTAAATTGCTGTTATACCCATTATAATTGAAAGCTTTTCTTATTGCATGCAGATACAATTTTAAAGAAATATTCGTCAACTGTTGCCACAATTTTTACAGGCATAGCATCTGCTGCTTTATTTGGCCATACTCTGACTATGAATTTTATTTTAGGAATCTCTATTGTGTTTATCTCAATGCACCAGGTAAGTAATGGAAGTCAAATATTTATCTAAAGAAAAAGTTGCCCCTTTATTTTGAGATCATTCTCATTTCTTTCTTCAGTTCTTTTCACCTCTTTCAAAAGTAAAGGATGAGCCGCAAAATGGAAATCTGGAAATTGTGGACATCCAAAATCACAGGTATGTCTTAAGTCTCCATTGCTTTTATTTATGGATAGCACCTCCTTGATTTGTGATGCATCTTCAATAATACTTTTTATCTGGGCAGAATGTGGAAATGTCCAACAAGTTCATTTCTATATCTATATTTTTATACATGTTTCTGTGCATTTATTATTTAGGGCCAGACTTTTTTCTTTTTTGGGTGGGGGGATTAAAAAACTGGTCTAGGGAAAAATTTATTGTCCTGCCGGGCTGTACACTATGGTATTTACAAATAAGAGTTCAACTATGATACTGGAAAGACATGATGCCAGAAAAACTTGTTGCAGTATACAATGTTATGTGGAACCTCCTCCCTCTGAATAATCAGCTATGCCCTATGGATGCAACTGGGGTTGGATTAGGTTGAGAACATTTTAAAATTTGAATGGACCTGAACAAATCTGAGCCCAATGTAATGTGGAACCTCCTCCCTCTGAATAATCGGCTATGCCCTATGGATGCAACTTGGGTTGGATTAGGTTGAGAACATTTTAAAATTTTAATGGACCTGAACCAATCTGAGCCCAATGTAATTAAGTTCGTTACAGGCTACCCTACTTGCAACTTTATTATGCTTTAGGATCTCACATGATTTATTGTGTACTGTTTCAATCATGTGTCTCGTTATTTCATTTAATTTTCATTTTCATCTTTCCGTATTATCACTTGTATGTTCATTTGTTTTATCAGGTCAAAGGATTCATCCTTCTTAAATATGGCAGCAGGAGCAAATGAGGATGTGAGATAAACATAAGATCATTGCTTCTTTCTTACAACAGTTTAATTTGTAGTTTTCAATGACATTAGGAATTCATTCTGACTATTACTTATATTCTATTTTTTTCCTCCTTTTATCCAGGCTAGTCATCGTATTGGATCTAATGAGAAGGAACCACTTCTTCCTGCCTAGATCAATTCTAAGGTATCCTTTTTACCTTTTCTCCTTCTCTTAAATAGAAAAGCTTGCACAACTATGTGTTACACCTGTATTTTTTTTTTTTTTGATAGGTTGTTACACCTGCATTGTTTTGACATGTAATTCCTTTTTTTTTTATTTTATCTATTTTCTTTAGAATACATACCTATATCCAAGAGAATCTAAACCTCTATATCGCATCCTTTGTATGCTGCGGATGCTTACAGGAACAATCCTATTTTTTATCTGCATCAGATATTTTTTCCGCTCAAACGTTGATATATTTCTGTCCAAAGTGGTGGGGCTATCCTATATTTTAGTTTTCATACATGTATGTGCGTACATGATGTTATAGGTTTGTTTGGAAAATGACTAGTTCTAATAAATGGGATTTAGAAATGCAGGTTAAGATATAAAAGAAAACATATGAAAATGTTCACTCTCAACCTCCCCCCAATGTAAAAATAACTTGCTTAAATTCACAAATTATGCATTATTTGTAGAGCATATTAATGTAATTTTAATCCTCCCTGCTTTTTTTCCTATTGCCGTTTATCCCCTCCCTGCGATCCTCCTAATCCTTCTGGAACAATTTTACAGGGATGATTTTAAAGGAGATTCTTTTGGCTGGACTTATTGAACGGTATAGGGGATAAGCCAGTTCTTGTTAGATTCAATAAAGTATGATACTGTAAAAGAAAATTCTTTTTCTTTTCTCGGGTCCCTTTCCCCATTTGGGATCCCTATCTTGTGGTTTGTATCCTCTGGAGAAAGAATTGCGGGCGAAGGGGCCACCAAACTCCTTGGGGTAAGAGAGAATCACTCGAGAGTTGCTGTATGGAGGTGTCTAATTGCAAAAGGGCAACAAATCTCTGCTTTCATCATCCATTGAACGATGTGGTGATAGTAGTGTCATCTGTATTTTTCATCTTAACTATATATAACTAATCAAATTCTTTTTCACTTTTAACTCGTGTTATTTATTTTCTTGAACTAGTGCCTTTGTTCAGAAAATAGCTGGGTTCTCGTGCTAGGAGAAATGTTTTTCTTTCATCAAATATACAGGAGACAAGCACTTTTACCTGTTGTACTGAGGGTATTGTATTTGTGCTTTGTTTCAATGTGGAAATTAGAAGCAGCACCTGACAATTTCTGAACAAAGATTGTGTCATCTCAGTAATGCTCAACCCCCTTTTTGGGTACATAATCCCCATCCAATATAATAAATAAATAAATAAGAAAAGTAATTTGTTTCCTGCATATTGAGGAAAAGTTATTAATTTGGAACTCTCCTGCCAATAAACATTCATGAACATGACACAATCTTTCGAGCTGAGTGAAACTATTTCTTCCAGAATAAGACAATGCAACGAATTGAACAAAGTTAGCTGAAGACTTACCGTGGCTAATTGGAAGGAATACTTATTTTTTATTGAATCCTATACTCCAGGTGGAGTTGTAGCTAATCGGAAGGAATACTTTTCTATTAAGGGGGTTTTTTGTAGTGCCGATGAGAAATTGGTGGGTGTGGGCTGATCCACACCACATTCTGTGGTAGGGACAATCACCACACCATAGTTTACAATTGTTTTGAACTATGAACAAAATGTGTGGACAGTACCAATCCACACCTATAGTGCCTTTTTGTAGGCATGGTGTGGATACTTTTTGATTTCATGTATCTCATAATTTGTGAAGAATATGCACTGTCGATCATAAATGTCTAAGTTTTACAATTTATATGATAAACGAATTGAAAGAAAGGCTTTAGCAATGGAATTTGTTTTTGGATTGGTTATGGGTATATGACTTATTGTTTGTTGTTGAATTTTTCAACAATATATTTCCAACCATCATTATTGAATGTTGAGATTGGTCTATTGGGAGACTTCACTTGATTTACCATCAATTCAATGAATGTCCATTCTTCGACTTCATTCCATGTGATTAATTCATTGGTTCTATTTTCATGCACTACTTCAAACTAAGAGACCTTATATGTTTGTAGAATAGGATAGGAATGGATTATGTGAAACAAACAAAATCTAACAACTTGAATAAATCTCAAAGTACCCAACTATCCAAGCTGGAAGTTTGTAAGACAAACATCATGCAAAATGGCACACAAGCATCCTAGCTAGGAGTTTTCAAAAAATAAGTGCAACCTTGACTTTTTAGGGTTGTGAACATTGTAGAGAGATTGGACCGAATGGGCCCTAGCCCATTCGTGTCTTTTTAATTGGTTCTTTCTTGTTATGTTTTCTTATTGGGCCTTTTCTTTATGGGCCTTTGACTCTTGTTTATGTTTTCTAAGTATAGTGTTGATGTGGATGCCTATTTAAGGGCAATCTTGTAAATTATGTAACTTAAGCAAGTTTATTAAAAAGGATTATTAGTGGGAGAAAGAGGAGATTATCGAACTCCTCATTTCTTCTCCAATCTTCCTTCTTCGTGTTGTCTTCTTTTTCTTCCCTAATTTCTTTTGCTTTATTCTAAAATATTCTTCTAATTTTATTGGTTTGAATCACATCTTGGTATCAGAGCAGGTTTTTCTTCCGTTTTTTTCCCTTTTTTCCCTTTTTTTCCTTTTTCCTATACACTTTTTCTAATCGAAAGGTGTATGGAGAGATAAATTGCTGATTATTCAGAGATCTTGTTTGCCTAGTTGATAGAGGGTTTGGAGAATCAGAATCTGGCTAAAGATTGCTAAGAAAATGAGACTGCAGATTTTTTTTCCCAAAACCTTAGCCAACTAGAAAATTTCTAGTTACGGGTTGAAGAGGTTGTTTGGGTGTGGCGCTCAAGGCTTGGAGGGTTCATTTTTATCTCCAAAAGTGGGCGGTTGCAGTTGGAAGTGGTTTAGATAGCTCAGGTTTGAGCGGCTACCTCTTCTTTCTTTCTCCCTAGAGGCCAGGTACGGTGAAACCCTAGTTTTGGGACTTTTGAGTGCTTGAGTGACCTTAGTTAGGTCTATAAAGGTTAAAAACATTATTATTTTATTTTTGTTTGATTGATGAAGCAATCTGGAAGTGAGGTGAAGCAGATCCTAGTGTCGGGGGTTGGTCTCGTAGATTCCATTTTGATAGGAGTTATTACAATTAAATTTGACGGAACAAATTACCTTGCTTGGGCACAATCTATTAAGATCCATGTCTGTAGTAGAGGTAAACTAGGGTTTCTAACGGGTAGTAAGGCGATGCCGGATGAGACTAGTCCTACATATGAGAAATGGATGCAGGATAACTACACAGTTATTAGGTGGTTGGTAAATTCTATGTAGCCCCATATAAGTCAACACTATCTGTGGATGACTTAAGCCAAGGAGATTTGGGATAATGTGATAGAGATATACTCTCAGAAATTAAATGTTGCAAGGACCTACAAACTAAAGAGTGATGTTAAGAATTTAAGACAGGGGGAGAAGAGTGTGGTTGTCTATTATTCGATGTTGAAGGCACTATGGGAAAGCACCAAAGATGCTGAAATTTTTAGGAAATTTGTGGAAAGAAATAGGGTGTTTGAGTTCCTTATAGGACTCAATCCTAAATTTAATATTACAAGGCAAAATATCCTGACCAAGGATGAAGTGTCACTTGCACAGGCATACTCTATGGTGAGTAGTGAAGAGAGTAGGCGACAGGTACAGCTACAAATCTCACCTTCTTTGGAACATTTTGCACATGCTGGAATAAAATCAAAGGGGCTAAATGAAAAAAATGAGGTGATATGTGAATACTGCAAGCAACCAAAACATAGTAAGGATTCTTGTTGGAAGCTTCATCCAGATCTTCTTCCTAAGAAGTTTCGGAACAACAACAACTTTAAGAAGGGTGGTTAGTCTAGAAAACCCAAAAATGCAAATGTTGCTATAGTGTCTGAATGTGAAGAAAAATCTGTTGTGGAATAGTTGGTAGCAGTAAAGGCTAAATTTGAGAGATATGGGAAGTTGATAAACCACTTGGAATCTACTATTGCATCTTCCTCCTCAAGCACCCCCTCTACATCCGCTTTTGCCCATTCAGGTATTCGTGCTTTTACAAATCATGCTACAGTCTCATGTAATCGTAGAATTCATTAGATTATAGATTCTGGTGCATCAGACCATATGACTAGCATACTCAACATTTTTTGTTCATACCACCTCCTCTCGGGTAGAGAGAAGATTTCTCTTGCCAATGGGTCTCTTGCTCCCATCTCTAGCAAGGGGAATATTAAAGCTTCCGACTCACTTGTATTATCCTCTATACTTCATGTTCCCAAACTTAGCACTAACATTTTATTTGTTAATAGTTTAACAAAATCAATGAAATGCAGCATAGTCTTATTTCCTACTTATTGTGTTTTTCAGGACCTGAAGTCTTAGAGGATGATTGGGAGTGGCCATGAGACGAATGGGATATACTTGTTGGATGTCCTTGATCAAAGTCCTGGATTACCTAGTGGAGTAGCTTTGGAGTCTGTTTTATCAGAGTGAGTTAATAGAGTCATGATATGTCATTTCAGATTGGTCATTTGTCTTTTTCAGCTTTGAGTCATTTGTTTCCATAAATGTTTAAGATAATATCCCTATCAAGTCTTCATTGTGATTCATGTGAACTTGCAAAACACTGTAGACAATCTTTTTCAATGAGTAATAAAAGATTTGTTTTTCCTTTCCATATCGTGAACATTTATGTGTGGGAGCCATATCATTTACTTGCTATGGAGGGCTACAAATATTTCTTTCTTTTCATTGATGATTTTCTCTCGTTACACATGGATTTACCTTCCGAAATCCCAGGATGAAGTACCAAATATTGTGCAAAATTTTCATGAACTTATAGTTACCCAGTTTAACACGGATAAAAATATTTTGATCTGATAATGCAAATGAATATTTTGAGAAGAGTCTCTCCTACTACTTTGATACCTTTGGAGTTATTCATTAGAGTTCCTATTCCTACACTCCTCAACAAAATGGAGTGGCGGAGGAAAAACAGACATGTGCTTGTGGTTGCGAGGAGCATCCTTTTTTGCTTTTCATGTTTCTATTAAGTTTTGGGGCGATGCTGTCTTTACAGCTATATACTTGATAAACTGAATACCTTCTCGGGTTCTAGGGTTTAAAACTCCCTTTAGCTTGCTTTTCCCAAATGAGGATCTCATCTCTCTTCCTCTCAAGGTGTTTGGATGCATTTGCTATGTCTATGTTCACAGCCATCAAAGACATAAGTTTGAGCCTAAAGCACACAAGTGTGTCTTTTTGGGATATGCCTCCACACAAAAGGGGTACTGTTGTTTTGATCTAGTTCGTGACACTTGTTTTGTTTCTAAAGATGTCACATTTGTAGAGTTTGTTCCTTTCTTTGGTACTTCTCTTGAGGGGGAGCATTTAGACGAGTTGCTTGCATTGTCACCATCTGTTCCTCTTCCAATTCCCATTGAATCTTCTATAGAGTCTCCTCCAATCAAGTCATCTATCCTTGCTCCCCCTCCTCCTCCTGCTCATGCCCTTACTTTTTCTTCACATCCTATTATCCAGAGGTGGTACCAGAGACAAAGACTCAGAGACATGTAAGTTGTTTCCACGCCTTCAGATGTGCCTCTTTCTCCTCCTATCACTACTGAGGTAACAGGTCAGCCCTCTCCCCCTCTTTCTCCTCCTAACCATAATCTCCCTATTGTCCTTCACAAAGGCAAACAGAAACGTACGATTCATTACATTTCCAAACACTTGTCCCACAACCTTCTTTCCCCTTTCTACTATTCCTTCATTGCCTCTATTTCCACACATTGACTCCCAGATCTATCTCAGATGCCTTGTCCAAACCAGAATGGAGAGATGCTATGATGACCGAACTAGATGCTTTGCATTAGAACAATACCTGAGAAATTGTGGATTTGCCTGAGGGAAAGAAATCGGCTAGCTATAAGTGGGTGTTCACTATTAAGTATCATTCTAATGGTACTATTGAGAGATATAAGGCCTGTTTGGTTGCTAAAGGATATACTCAGATGTATGGTATTAACTACTTAAAAACTTTTGCCCTACTAGTCAAGATGATTTCAGTTCGAGTTTTGCTATCTTTAGCTACTGCTTTTGATTGGCCTCTTCATCAGTTTGATGTAAAGAATGCTTTGTTGAACGGGGACCTAAATGAAGAGGTCTATATGTCTCTACCTCCAGGGGTGTATGGGAAGGAGATGCAAGGAAAGGTCTGTAAATCGAAGAAGTCTCTTTATGGCCTTAAGCAATCTCCTAGAGCTTGGTTTGACAGATTTTGGGTTGTTCTTGTTGCTTTTGGGTATACATAGACTCAATCGGATCATACTTTGTTTGTTAAGAGGAAAGATTCCTTAGTGACCCTCCTGATTGTCTGTGTTGATGATATTGTGGTTACAGGTAATGATACTCAGGAAGTTGTTCATTTCAAGAGCTTTCTTAACACTAAGTTTGAAATTAAAGACTTGTGAGAACTCAGATATTTCTTGGGAATTGAAGTTGCCAGATCTAGGGATGGTATATTCATTTCTCAGCAGAAGTATGTTCTTGATCTCTTTGCAGAGACTGGGAAACTGGGGGATCGACCTACTTTTACTCCTATTGACCTAAATCATAAGTTGTCAGTGACTGAAGGTGAACTGTTGCCTGATAAGGGAGTGTTCCAGAGACTGGTCGGGAAGTTACTATACCTTTGCATCACTTAGCCAGATATTTCCTATGCAGTTAGTGTAATCAGTCAGTTTATGCATTCTCCTAGAGATACGCATTTAGCAGCTGGTGGGAGAGTTCTATGCTATCTATAAGGGACTCTAGGGAAATGTATTTTATTTGCTAAGCATGGACACTTGAAGCTGGAAGCATACACTGATGTTGATTGGGCTAGATGTATTGATGATAGGAGGTCTAAGTCAGGTTACTGTGCTATGGTAGTAGGGAACATATCATGGAGGAGTAACAAGCAATCTGTAGTGGCAAGATCTTCAGTTAAAGCAGAGTACAGGGCAATGGAACATGGAGTTTTTGAACTTTTGTGGTTGAGATCACTTTTAGATGAATTGGAAATAGATTGTGAGAAGCCAATGATGCTATATTATGACAACCAGACTGCTATTAACATTGCATATAATTCTATTCAACATGACAGAACTAAGCACATTAAAGTTGATAGGCATTTTATACGAGAGAGAATTGCCTTAGGAGAAGTTTGTTTACCATTTGTTGCTTCTTAAGAACAATTGACTGGTGTTTTGACAAAAGGTGTTCCTAAAGGAAATTTGGCTCATTATATAAGTAAGCTGAGCATGATGGATATCAATGCTCAGCTTCGTGTCTTTCTAATTGGTTCTTGTAAGCTAGGCAATCTTGTAAATGATGTAACTTAAGCAAGTTTATTAGAAAAGATTAGTGGAAGAAAGAGGAGATTATCGAACTCCTCTTTTCTTTCTCCTTTCTTCTCCAATCTTCCTTCTTCTTCTTGTCTTCTTCTTCTTCCCTAATTTCTTTTGCTTTATTATAAAATATTCTTATAATTTTATTGGTTTGAATCATATCTAACACAAGCAAGTGATCTGAATCAACCATACAACATGAATAATCTATATGGTAAAAAATGCAGTTAAATATCCAATTTTAGAATTGCTTTGTTGTTAGAAATTAATTAGTCTAATTTCTGGGCTCAATCTCAAAGTACTCAAGATGTAGATACAAACTGTAATATTTGGTAAAATGGGTACATTGACAGTGGGAAAACCTATGGTAGTTAATGCAACGTTCTTTCCAAATGTGCCCATCTATGAGTTCTGTGGAATGATTGCTGCTGCTGTTGAGATGAGGATTAATATTTAACACCTAGTTTTGTTGGAGTTGCTTACTTTATGTTCTGGATTAAAAGTTATAGATTTGATTTTCCCAAAGATTTCTGGAAGTTCCATTGATAGATAAATAGTGAGCATCCTATAGCAAAGGTTGTGATTGAATATGCTAATAAGTTGCGTTAAGTATGGCTCTGCTATGGAATATGTAATAGAACCCAAGGACTTTGAGGTGCATCCAGGGGTTGGGATTAGTGGAAATGTTGGGGGAAAACTAGTGTTGGTTGGGAACAAAAGGTTCATGTAAGCCTACAATGTTCCACTGGCCCTAGGATTAAAGATTAACAACTAGCTCGTACATGTGTACTAGTAGACATTGATGGGAGGATTGTTAGGACTTTTGCCATAACAGATCCTATGAAACCAAAGGTAGAAGGTGTTGTATCATACTTGTGAAACTAGAGCCAAATGATGTTGTATCATACCTTCGGTTAATGAGGATCTCAAGTGTTATGCTAACTGTGGATAATTGGGCTACAACAATTGCCATTGCAAGGGAGTTTGGAATTAGCAAGTGTTTTCTAAAAATGGTCCAGTAGGAAAGGCTAATAAGATCAAAGAATTATAGGTAGATACATCCAAACACTTGTTTGGTCGGTAATACTCCATATGAACTATAAGCCTTCTCCATATGAACTATAGAAATTTGATGCAAAAACAATCTTGTATTCCTGTATAAGCTTTAATGTTTAAGTCTCTCATTTATGAATTCCTCTAAGCTCAAAGATACTTCAAACTTATTTGCCCTACAAATGCTAGAATCAATGGAGAGTATTGTGTTCAATCAAATAATCACATAATTGTTGATGTTATTGATTTTCTATCAAATAATCCTATCTGCCCCACAAATATTGATATTGATTTTCTAGTTCATAGGAAGAAATGGTAGTTTAAAGGCTTTGTTCAATTGATCTTGTGTAGGGACAAGCTCACTTGCATGTCAGAAAACTAGATATAAATTATACATGCATCTCTAACAACCTCACATGCTAAGACTTAATTAAGCACAGACTGAGTGTGAAGTTCCAGTAATAATCAAACCAAAATTTTATTTAGAGGACTTGTTGGTTTATTGTTAACATCTTTAGCTCCGTTTTACCATTATGTCAAAGGAGCAATTCAGCATTGAGTCAAAAGAACAGGGGAATGTCACGACACAAATAGATAATGAATCTGTGTTTACAGAGATACAAGTGATTGAGAAAATGGATGGAAAGTCACAATCAAAGGATTTAACTAAAAATCTAGAGGAACAAGAATCTGAGGTGGAAATAAACAAACACCGAGAAATATGAACAAGTCATTAAACAATAGAGATTATATATTGATCAAGCATTATGCAATTTTTTTAAGATGAAAAAAATGGAGAAAATATTGCTTTCGAGTGATAGTATACACAAATTATAAGTGAAGTTTTAGTAAAATGCTAACTATAGGGTAGATTTTAGTAAATCCATGAAACTATAAGGGGTATTTTAGTAAATGGTCATTTCTATTATTTAGTTTTCGCTTAATAAATCCCGTGCATCGCATGGGTCCCCACTAGTATTCTTATAATCCTAGGATCTCAAAATTCCATTTATAAAATATCCCTAGAATTTTATAATCAAATTCATAAAATACCCCAAATTCCCATAATCCTATTTGTAAAATATCCACAAATTTGATTATTTTTAGGTGATTTTAGGGTGGGGAAAATTTGGGATTCCCCATCCCATGGGAGGAGTGCTCCATCCCATGCATCACATGGGCCCCGCTCTTACTCGGTGGGGACAGAGCAGGTTTACATTTTTTGTTGGGAGTATAGTTGATAAGGGCAACTTTTGGGCCCTAATATTAACAAAAGCAATACTTTTAATAAAATTTCAAAAAAAGGTTAAATTTTTAAAAAAAATATCAAATAAGGGCAAAAATACTATTCATCTTCTTCATCGTTCATCAGCGCCGCCACCTCCGTCAATACCTCCGCCTCTGCCCAACGTCACCACCTCCGCCTCTAGAGGTTCTTAGAGTGACGCTGCGGAAGCCCCTAGTTAATGACAAAGTCCTAGTATGTGCTTCCCGCTACTGGGTTGAGTACTAGGTGAGGAAGAAGTCGCCATATGGGGTCTCCCAGGAGCCTCCGTTTTCCTTGAAGAAGGTGTTGGCAAAGGGCGACTGGTCGTAGTTGGGGGTGTCATGGGACTTGAGAGGCCCCAGAAGGGGTTTCCGGTCACCTGGGCGTGTTCCTGCAGATGCTTTAGCATGTTTTTGTCGTAGCTCTGAAGTTCTCCTACTCTTGTAATCTTGCCACCTCTCGTCGATGGCCGAGAATGGTACCAGAGCTCTCCATCCGGTCCTAGGCTCACTGAAACATCCCGAGGAGATCACAGAAAAAAGCAACCATTGATAAGAGCCAGTTCTAACAAATAAATAAATGAGATGAGTTGAGACTTGAGAATGAAGATTTGAAGCTTACCACGATTGTAGAGCCTATGAAGTTTGAGAATGAAGATTTGAAGCTCTCTTAAGAATTCCTGGTAAACCTGAACCAGAGTCTTCCCATCGAGCACGGACAAATCATCCACCGCCAGCGACAAACACTCTTTGTAGCGCCGTCCTGACCTATCGGTGAAGATGTCTGGTTGTGCTTCACCAATCTTTGACACCCAATCAGGGAGTTCAATTTTGGCTTGTTTGGCGACATGGAAGCAGAGAGACACGCGAAGCTTGAGACCCGCGTCTCGGACCATCTCTGCAAGCTCAAGATATCTCGATCAGTTGTACTTTCCTCTGGCGTCCTTCTCGGCTATCCCCCACCAGATGGGAAATTCCACCCCTTCTACCCCCAAGAGCTTTAGAGCTTTCAGCCCTGCCTCGATTGCTCTTACATGGTTCAGTGTGTTGCCGTGGGAAACAACATCCAGAGGAAGTCCAACAAATAAGCTTAATCCATCCTCTTGCATAAAAAATAATAATTAATTTCTATAGATATACGTAGATTTCTCTGATGAATTAAAGTCGAGACCCTAGTTTTTGGAATTCAAAACGAATAGAAGGAAAGAAAAAATAACACTTACTAGCTTCGATCCTTTCGGCATCGCTCTCTCTCTGGCAATTTTCTTCGATCAGGAGACCTCCGATTGCGTTGCCTTGAGAGAGACTTTAATTTCAACTGTTGTCCATCTCCTAGCAAGTTTAAAACAAACCTTTTTTTTTTTTTTTGGTGAAGATCTACTTGGAACTAAAAAACCCAAGCTTCCGATAAGGTGAATTGATAGTTCCGATCTTCACCTGAGAACATCCAATTACTGAAACCTCCATCTCAATTCACAAAGTAAGGAAAAGGAAGGAAAAAAAATGAAAATAGTTTGATAGATAAGAGACTAAAAGGAAATAAATCCTGCAAAATTCACATAACCCTAGAAATTTGGCAAAGAAACAATAGAGAAGAAATCAGAGTCTTTGTTCGTTTCAGGATTCAGGTGGGCTCCTCTGCTCATGGTCGTCAGAGTGTCAAGCAAACCGTTGGTTATATGGGAGGAGCAAGGAAGAACATAGGCATTTTTTCAGGTGATGTTAGATTTAGGAATCTTCCAATAAAAAAACACCACGTGAGGGAAATCAAGCAGAGGTGGTGGCGTTGGGCAGAGGCGGCAGAGGTAGGCAAAGGCGTTGTCGGAGGTGGCGGCGTTGATAAATGGTTTGCAAAAGAAAGAAGATGAATAATATTTTTTCCCTTATTTGATATTATTCTTAAAAAATTAATTTATATTTAAAATTTTATTAAAATTATTATTTTTATTGATATTAGGGCTCGGAAATTGTCCTTATTAACTATAATCCCGTTTTTGTTTTTTGAATGAAGAATTAACCCTTCTTCCCTAGGGTCCTACCTAATGCTCCAAAGAATTGCAATAAATCCCCACCGTTCAAATGCATTCAGCAAGATTAAAATCATATTTGAAATCTCGTCTAGATCTTGCTGATGAGTGACACCTGTCGAGTGGTGTTCCACCAGGATCTCTAACAAAACATTTCGGCATCGAGGAGAAGGAAAAGAAAATAGAAAATAGATATCGGGAGAAAAGAAGGGAAATTAGAAAATTTCATACAGGCTCTCTCCCCTTTTTTCCATCAAAAGCATATTCACGTCTCGTCTCCAGCGGAAACCTACAAAGTGGCCTTTCTACCGGAGCATTATCGGCGTCCGTTAACTCTCTGACTTTCGGTTCTTTTTTTTTTATCTGACCTATTGCTTTGATCTGACTATCTGTATTTTCGTGCTTGCTTTAAAAGAAAGCAGACGCAGAGGTAACAAAGCAAAACTAGAAGCAAGGGGATGGCGCACCTATCAGCTAGAAAAACCAGCAAGATCCTCAGCTCCTTGGCTCCAAGGTTCTGCCTGAGCAAGGCCATTCTCTCGTCCGCTCTTTCTTCACTTTCTTCGTCCCAGTGTCGCCATTTCGCCGCCGCCCCAGTGCCACCTCCTGCCGTGTTTGTTGACAAGAACACTCGGGTCATTTGCCAGGGCATTACCGGAAAGAACGGTACCTTCCACACTGAACAAGCTATCGAGTATGGCACCAAAATGGTAAAATTTTCATTTATTTGTTATTGTTTTGTTTTTCTTTTTGTTGGATTTCAATCTATTCGTGGGTCTTTATTATTGGATTCTAGCTTGTTCTGTAGGTCATTTTACAGCACCATAACTTTCTAGGTTTTTGAGTACTGAAGCTTGGTTGACCATTTTTCCTTTGATGATTAATAATAGAACTTCTAATTTTTGTTTTGTTTTTGTTATTACCGTGACGAGCTTGAATCTAATTTATGATCTCGTAATGGATTGATACCATTTATTAGTTACTGAGTTGTTCATAATATTACTAAAAAATTATAGATTCGGGATATTGTACTCGATCAGTATTTATTGTGCTTTATCCATTAAATTTACCTTTTATTTGGATTGGGATGCAGATCTGTTTTTATACGTCTTTTTAATAGGTTGATTTCTATAATCGTATGGTTGAGAGTCTCGACTTTTTAGTTCTGATATGATAGTATTATTAGCTTTCTGGCATTTTTGTTATTCCCGCTTTGTTGTTGATCTGGCATGGTTGATGATAGAGCTTTTGTCAGTCTTTTCATTTGTTTATAGTTTGAAATTGTTAATGAAGTTGTGGGCGATAGGATTTTTCTTCTATTAATTTTTTACCATTCAGCCATTGTTGGAGGTGCTGTTATATGACTATTTTCTTTCACTATTATGTACTTCCCTCGTCTTGAATAGAAAATAATGCAAGAGGACCTGTGGATCCAAACCTCTGCTCAAGCGACTACCCTAATAAGAAGATCCGTTAGCATTACTTGGATCCAAAACCTTTTGACTCCATAAATACCAATTCAAACATGAGAATGTATTCTGTCTGTTTACAGCATAACCAAGCAACTCACTAGGAGCAAGAGTTGGGCCTCAAACCTTAGCTCCTGTAAGGAATAGAATTGAAACCCATCCTCCAAAGGCTGACAATACTTCAAATAATAAAGTAGTTGAAGTTCCCAAACCCAACCTCCAAGAAAGGAATAGAATTGAAGGCCCAAACCAACATGGGCCGATAGGAGAAGGTGACTCTCTCAGGGCTGAAGTTTTAGCTCTTCTTCAAGGGCTGAGATTGGTGAAACAACTGGGCCTCCAACAAATTGAGTGGAGGGGGGACTCAAAACTGGTGATATGGTGGTTACAAACAGGCAGCATGGGAATTTGGATCCATAGGCAGGCTTTAAGGGAGACTCGAAGCTTATCAAGGGAGCTAGGTGCAACTGTTTGATGGGTTAGAATATCAGCAAATGGTTTGGCTGATACACTAGCCAAACAAGGGACAAATCAGGGTGGTTTGTTTTGGGCTGAATTGTAATCGAATCCTTTTGGGGGTTTAGTCCCTTTTCTTATGGGGACTGGATCCATGTATTCTCTTAATCTAATGGAAATTACCGTTTCCTATAAAAAATCTGATTCAATTTGATACTGTCTAGATATGTTGGGTTGATGTAAACCTTCTCCAGAAGTCCAGATAAAAATATATGTGATAAGCTGCTTGCATTCTTCTCATAGGTACAACAATATGAGATTCAGTCTAATTGAGAATCCAAGAGACTAACTTGCCATTATCGATCTTTCCATTGCTGAAATGCTTTAGCCTTAGTTTCGGGTTTAGTTAGTTCCATCAAGATTCACCGGAATAACCTCAACCTTATCAGAAGCCATTTCAGCAAATAAACACTAAAAAAACACAGTCCGAGAAGAAGACCATAATGATTGTAATGATAAAGAAGAGAATAAACAAGCAGCTCTTCAATCAGACTTGATCAATATTTAACCAAAACAACAGGGATGATATCCCACCACTGAAATAATGTAAGATTCTTCAAGAAAAAAACGCTAATCAACAAGATTTTAATGATGACAGTCCATAAAGGAAAGTGACTGACTTGCTGATCTAAAGAAAAGGAGCAAAACTCCTCTAAAAAGGATTGGATCTTCAATTGGATCAATGGGATATCAGGATAAGCTAGTTCGACACAAACTCCAGAATCATAGACTGATTGGACCAATAGAGAAAAAGGAAAAAAAGAAAGACTGATCTAGAGAAAATGAAGGGTACCTGTGTTGATTGAAACAACCTCAAAGATAATCAATATTGATGCTGAACAGTAGATCAATATATGCTCAAAATACTCCTTCAATCTTTTTTTTTTTTTGATAAACAAAATACTCCTTCAATCTTGATTCTCACTTCCTCAAAGACAGGTACAAAGTCTTTGCTCTGATAATATGTTAATCTTCCAAATTGAGATAGAGACAAAGTCAGAGAAAGTGAGAAAGAAGCAACAGCCAGAATAATGGGGTCTCTAGAATGAATCGACCCCCACCCTAAAGAGCCTCCTTTATATTAAAGCTATGTACAATTACAAGTATGCCCTTGCAGGTTGAATAGAAGAAGAGGAGAAAGAAATAAAGAACAAAAGATAAGATGCAATAGGGACTGTAGCAATACATTATAATACAACTCTTAACTCCTAGAATTCCCACAAACCTTAACCTTTCTCATCCTATTAGCAAAAGCTTAGCTAGTATTTTATAGAAATTACCAATTAGTCTTACTGGCCTATAATATTTTAGTTATGAAGCATCCCTCACCTTTAGAATCAATGACATAAATGTGGCATTTAGGCTGCATTCTAGTGAGGCCTTCTTATGAAACTCCTCAAGAGTCTTCATCACTTCCTACTGGATCCAACCCAGCCCAGTCCATGGACGGCCCAAACATAGCTCGAGAGGGCCCCCCCACATGAGATGCAAAGGTTCGTTAAAAGGAATAGAAGTAGGCTGGCCACATCAGCTGATCCAATGTTAGAAACGTTGCAGCAACACATGATTGAGATCATTAGCTGATTAGCATGATTGCATCTTTGAGCCTTATATATAGAGCTCCAATCTATAATAAGCAATCAGAGAATTATGTCCCGTTGACAGCCCTACCAATTCTCCTTCCACTTTTCAGGCTATCATGAACAATATAAAGCCCTTCCTACGCCGTTTCATCCTGGCATTTTTTGACGATATCTTGGTATACAGTAACGATTGGGACACTCACTGTGTTCATTTGCAGATCACTCTTACTACATTGAGGGACAACAAACTTTATGCCAAGTTGTCTAAATGCTCCTTTGGACAGAACCAAATTTACTACCTAGGTGAAGTTGTCTCAGCTAGGAGGGTCATGGCTGACCCCGACAAAGTGAAGCTATCCAAAACTGGCCCAGGCTCACCTTTGTTAAAGCTTTGAGAGGTTTATTGGGGCTAACGGACTACTACAAACATTTTGTCAGAAGCTACGGGCTCATTGCCACACCACTAACTAAGCTGCTCAAAAAGGATTCTTTCAGCTGGACAGAAGAAGCCCAATGGACCTTCGACAGACTCAAGTCAATGGTCACTACTACTACTGTTTTGGCTCTCCTAGATTTCTCTCAGCCCTTTGAGCTGGAGTGTGATGCCTCAGGCATTGGCATGGGGGCAATTCTCATGCAAAAGGGGCTGCCCATTGCTTACTTTGGCAAGGCCTTGGCTTCCACACACTGGAATCTATCCACCTATGTTAAGGAACTGATAGCTATTGTTTTGGCAGCGCACAAATGGTGAATTTACCTCTGGCCGATAATTTGTAATCAGATCTAAACCCGGTTCAATACATTCTAGAGCAGTTGGTTCACAGGCTAGAGCAGCAGAAATGGCTTAGTTAGCTACGTGGCTTTGATTACCAGATAAAATATAAACCCAGTTCAATCAATAGGGTTGCTGATGCATTGTCTCGTGGCAAGGACCTGGCCCAACTTACGTGTTCTCAGGCCATTTTCCCTCTCATTCAAGCTCTGCGCCAGGAAGCTAGGCAAGATCCACGGTTATTAGAACTTAAGAGGCAACTACAGGAAGATCCAACTACAACAAGACCACTTTATTAAGTACGGGCATTTCTCAGCGCTACCTCATCCATACTCCGCTGCTATGGTCGCTGAAGTATTTATCAAGGATTAACAGGTCTTAAGGTTAATCTCTCAAAAAGCATAATAATCGAAATTGGAGAGGTGGGGAGGGATGTTATTTTGGATTGTGCTGATGCTCTTGAATGCAGAAATGGTGAGCTCCCTTTCACCTATTTGGGAAGCCAATAGGAGGTGCTTCAAATTCTGGCACAATATGGAAACCAATCTTAGAGAGGGTTGAAAGGAGGTAGGATGGGTGAAACATAGTTGTCAAGGCGATGCCTAGGCAACAAGGCACCCTTGGAGGCTCACCTCGCCCAGTCGCCAAGCAGTTTTGCATACTATGTAATAAACTACTTTTATATTGTTATTTTTTTTTGAGATTATAATTATAAAATAGACATTATTAAAGAAAAATATTCATTTTTGTGTTTTTAAACTAATTTCTTTTTATTATTTTCTTATTTGTTAGGGTTTTATCAACACAAACATTGCTAACTGCTGTTGAACCCTCAATGACTTCAAAATCTGAACAAATAAGTAAGGGAAGAACTTAAAATTTTGTCTAATCAACACATTTCTTCTTCCACATCTTCTTCTTCTTCTTCTTCTTCTCCTTCCCCCACCTTTTATTTTCTTCTTTTCCTATAACAAAAATAGGGGTTCAGCWCCTATATTTTTTGAATTTTCTTTCCTTTCTTCTTTTTCTTCTCATAAATATGTTGATTTTCTAGACTTAAACATGAAGTTTATAATTTTCTTATGAAAATTATGGATAGTTATTAAAGGAAGATGGTTATGGAACCAAGGGAACTACCCTAGGATATGTGATTTTTACTTAAAAAATCCATTGCCTAGGCGACTAGGCAACAAGGCGTTCCCCTGTCGCCTAACCTCACCTTGGCACCTTGAAAACTATGGGGTGAAAAGCCAAAATATTTATCCTTGGGGGGGAGAATAACTTTAATTAAAAGTGTCTTGTCAAGCTTACTAACCTATTATTTACCTTTGCTGAAAATACCAACTAAAGTGGCAGAGAGAATTGAGAAAATTCAGAGGGATTTCCTATGGGAGGGGGAAAGAAATTTCACTTGGTGAATTGGGTTAAGGTATGTAAACCGAACGAGAAGGGAAGACTGGGGCTAAGAAAAGTGAGAAACTTTAATAGGGCTTTAATGGGGAAGTGGCTATGGAGATTTGGTTTAGGGAGAGAGGAGGGTGGTGGTTGGGAGGTATGGGGTGGTGAGGTTCAGCTGGGAATCTAGAGAGGTGGGAGATTCATATGGGGTGAGTGTGTGGAAGGGGATTATGCGTTTTAACAAGGAGTTTAGAAGTCTAACAAGTTTTGTAATAGGGGATGGATCAAGAATCAGATTTTGGGAGGACGATTGGTGTGGGATAGGCAAGCTGAGTGATTTATGTCCAAGATTATATAGGCTGGCTGAGGCTGAGGTATCTATCGGTCAATGCTATGAATGAAGGGGGGATCAATTGGTATGGAGCCTTAAATTTAAGAGGCCTCTGCTGGATAGAGAAGTGGAAGAATATTTCTCTCTGCTAGGAGAATTAGAAAGTGTGAAAATCTCAGGGCAGCAGAGGGCTGAGCTTTGGAGGAGAGAATGTAAAAATGGGAAAAATTCAGTTAAATCATGTTATATGGCTCTTAGCAGGTTCAACACAGAGTCACAGATTTAAGTCAAATTAAAGGTATTTGGGGAAACCCGGTGCTCCGAGAGTTGAAGCTTTGGCATGGCTAGTGGCAATGGATAGCGTTTTGACAGTGGACCATTTGAAATCAAGGACTCCATTTGGATAACAGGTGCTGTCTATATGAAGAGCAGGAGGAAAATGTCAGTCATCTATTTATTACCTGCAAGCGTGCTGGTTTCATGTGGAGAATGCTTACTACTATGTTCGGGGTTCCTGGAATTTCACCCAGTTTCAGCTGCAGAAAATTTTTCTTTGTGGTCTAAGCTGAGAGGGAGTAAGAAGGCTAAGCTGATTTGGTGCTGCATCACTTTTGCTGTAGTTTGGTACATATGGAAGGAGAGGAACAGAAGAACACTCGAGGACAGAGACAGAGCTTGCAGTATGGATAGGATGGGAGCTGCTGTTAGCAGATCCTTGGCAGATTGGGTCTTGGTTCTCCCAAAATTTAGGCAAATCAATAAGGAGGACCTGGGGAATAAGTTAGGGGAGGTTTTGGGTATTCAAATCTGTAATGTGGAAAACTCATTTTGATTTTAAGATTGTATTGTTTCTGGGTGATGACTTGTCACCCATCAGATGGTACTACTCTTTTTGTTTTAATGAAATTTACTTATCAAAAAAGAAAAGTATTTATCAAGGACATCACCAAACTACATGGGATCCCTGCATCCATTGTATCAGACTGAGATCCCACCTTCCTCAAGTCATTCTTGGAAGGAATTTTTCAAGCTCCATGGAACACAGTAATGCTTCTTGTAATGCTTTGTGGCTTTTCTTCTGTGCTTACATCTCTTGCCACTGCAGTGTTTCTATCCTAAAGCTGTTGTAGAGGCTAAATAATCACTTGAGTGGTAGTGTGGAACAATGCTATGATGGTAGAAATTAGTGCTCTTCACAAGAATAATGCATGAATTCGTAGATATTTCTAAGGGAAAGAAAGTATAAATGAACGGGGTCGTGAGTTGGCAATTGCAATGAAACATAGGGCAGATGTATCCATAAAAGATTTTAGGCAAAATTGGTAGCAAATGGATTCAGTCAGATGTATGGTGTGGTGTACATTGAAACTTTTCACCTTGTGGCAAATGGATTCAGTCAGATGTCTCATGGAGTAAACTTTGACTGGTCACTTCATCATTTGGATATAAAAAATGCTTTCTTGAATGGTGACCTGGAAGAATGAGTGCACATGTCACAACTGCCAGGCAGTGAGGATAAGGTATATTATTTGAAGAAATCCTTATATGGGATGAAACAATCTCCTTGAGCATCGTTTGGACTCTTTAAGAAAGTGATTCAGCAGATGGGGTATAAATAATGTTAGGTGGGTCATGGTTTGTTTGTGAAGAGGGAACTAGATAAGATTGCAGCCCTTATGGTGTATGTTGATGACATTGTCATCACAAGAAATTGGAGTTCAAAAATTCGGAAGTTGAAAGAGTTTCCAGCTTTTTGGTTTGAGGTAGAGGTCTAGGTTCCCGTAAGTACTTAGAAATTGAAGTGCCATATCAAATAGAGGTTTCTTTATTTCCCAAAGAAAGTACTTCCTAGATCTCAACAAGGATATAGGGAAGCTAGGTCTAGCCCAGCTGATAGTCCTATGGAGCTAGAGCAATGACTTGACAGGGATAGTGGAGAAAAATATCATTGTGAAATGCAGTTTCAAAGGCTGATTGGTAGGCTTCTATCTCCATGATCTGATCTGACATTTCATATGTTGTGGGTGCATTTAGTCATTATATGCACTCTCCTACTACATCACATTTCTCTGTTGCTGAATGGGTACTTGGATATTTGAAGAAGCATCTTGGAAGGGGTACTCTTTTCTCTGAACATTGTCATATCTGTTTTGAGGTTTCTACAGATGTAGGTTGGGCTGACTCCATTGATGATAGAAGATGCATTATTGGGTATTGCACCTTTGTAGGTGGAAATCTAGTAACATGAAGGAATAAGATTCAAGCAGTTGTAGAGCTAGATCTAGTGTTGAAGTAGAATATTGTGCTATGGCATGTTGTGTTGCTGAAATTTTGTGGATAAAGAATTTACTATCTGAAATGGGTTTTTCAGTGGACAGCACAATGCCACTATATTTTGACAATAGGGTGGCAATAAGCATTGCTCATAACCCTGTCCAACATGACAAAATTAAATGCATCAAAGTTGATGAGCATTTTATCCAGAAGGGAATTGAAACGGGTGAAACATGCCATTCTTTTATTGGTCTAATGAGCAGCTTGCTGATGTATTCATGATAAGAACAGTGGTGGACTAGTGGTGGAGAGAACTCACATGAGTATTTTTCTCAAGATTGGCTGGCTGGTCACTATCTGCTAAAGGGGAAATGGGTGAATGGCAGACATATTAGATCCAACATTCTTGAGTTGGATGCTAGATTGTCCTTTCATTTTCCACACCTCTCCCTGCTGATCGCTTTTTCACCCCATCACATGGTTCTTTTATGTTTTATTTTATTTGTATTAAAAAAGTGACTATTTTTTCCAAGGAAATGATTAAATATTATATTTTGTGGCTTAAACCATAAAGTTCAACTGGAAAACAACTCAAGCTGTTAAACAGGTTAATGTCTGGACTCTGGATTGAACGGGTTTTGATCAAGTCAACGGTTTTTTACCATTTAAGAGGTTAGGGGTTAAACCAATCTATCCTGACCTCCGGATGACAGGTTGAACAGTTCAACCATTAGGGCAATGATGGTTTGAAAACACTGACACACTGTACCAGGGTGCAATTTCACTTAACCTGTCTGACCAACCACCCAAACTTATGCTGGGTTAGAATCAAGTTAGAAAACCATAATGTGAGCTGCAGTTGGTTGATGTTGGATAACCTAATTTAATGCAAACCTATATTGTTGTTTTTTTTATATTTCCTGTATATTTTTTTGGACAATTTCTTGATTTTTGTGTCATCCTTACACAGGGGCCATGCTAATCTTCTCTGTATTGTTCCAATTTTATTGATGTCTCCGGAGAGGCATATTTCCAGTATATTTTTAAGTAGATTGAAAAAGAAAAACAAGATCTTTACTGCTTGTTGAATTATTGCAGTGGGTAAAGTTGGTTGCAAAGTCAAACTCTAAATACCATCTTTTGAGTTGATTCTGCATATACGCACTGATGGACATACATGTTTTGGTACCCAACTTGAGCCTACCTGAGGTATACTTTGATACCCATGACAACCTGGCTCTGGTTGGGCTGGGATTAGCCTTCATTTATTTCCTGATCTGTAACTGAGAGTATTTCATTAGAAACACGAAACTGCTAAAAACTAGCAGAAGGCCAAATTAAAACAAGTTACATGAGCAGTTCACCAATCAAGGGCAACTCACAGCCAAGACGAACAAGAAAAAACAAGAATACAAATTACAACTCCCCACCTGGAGCTGGGCATCCCCATACAAGACTTTCCCTATCAATGCCTGCTCTTGCCAAAGAATCGGCCAGCATATTAAAGCTCCTTGGTACCCTACTGAACGAGGCATTCAGAATGGCACCTAGTGAGTAAGCCTGTCTTACCAATGTTCTAACTTCCCAAGGAACCTGAACATTTGCCCTCATCCAACTGTATCCAATGCAGTTGCACACTAGCCATAGGTCTGGAATGTTCTTTTGATGAGCTATTTCTTGAACGAGCATTACAGAAGGTCAGACCAACATAGACAAACCTGACTGATTTATGGGCTTTCTTTACTGTATGTTTATTTTCCATCCAAGTTGCCTCTTATTTTCTCTACACTTTAATAGCTGTGATTCTGGGTTATGCTGCAGGAAGAGGTAAGCCTACCACTTGAGTGGTTTAGATTAATGAACTGGTCCATCTGTTTTTTTCCAGGAGCCCAGAGTTTCCTCTTGCACTTTTTCCTTTTTGAGTAGTATGTTACTATGTTCACACCAGTAATTAGTTAATTACTCATTGCTTGTGTACCCCTTGTTTCATTTTGTCTAATTTAGCATTTGACTTTTTTTTTTTTTTTGCTGTTATTTGTGGATATAGGTTGGTGGGGTGACACCAAAAAAGGGTGGAACTGAGCACTTGGGACTTCCTGTCTTCAATACAGTTGCTGAAGCGAAAGCGGAAACAAAGGCAAATGCATCAGTCATTTATGTTCCTCCTCCATTTGCTGCAGCAGCTATCATGGAGGCCTTGGAGGCTGAATTGGATCTAGTTGTATGCATCACAGAAGGAATCCCTCAGCATGACATGGTAAGTTGGATTTTCTTGTTACTACCATTCTGTCCTGTCAAAATCATCATATTTCATTTTCTACCTTTTTACACATGAAATATCTTTTCCTTTGAGCTTATTTCTGTGGCCAGGCTATTGATATATTAAAAAAAGGCCATTACCCAATGTTGGTCCTAGCTATCTTTTCCTTAGAGCTTATTCACCACCACCGGTCACAACATGATTGACCTATGAAGAAGGTGGTTCATGCATAGTTTTAAAGGCGCCAAGGCGAGGCTAGGCGACATGGGGGCGTGTAGTCGCCTAGGCAATGGATTTTAAGTAAAAACATGTATCCTAGGGTAGTTCCTTAGGTTCCATAATCATATTTCCTTAATAAATATCCATAATTTTTGTAAGAAAAGTATAAACTTCATGTTAAACTATAGAAACTCAACATATTCCAACATATTCATGAGAAGAAAAAGAAGGAAGAAAAGAAAATTCAAAAAATATAGGGGCTGAACCCCTGTTTCTGTTATAGGAAAAGAAGAAAAGAAAAGGTGGAAGAAGAAGAAGAAGAAAAAAAAAGTGTTGATTGGACAACATTTCATGTTCTTTCTTACTTGTTGGTTCAGGTTTTGAAGTCTTTGAGGGTTCAATACAGCATTTAGCAATGTTTGTGTTGATTAAACCCTAACAAATAAGAAATTAGTATATAAACACACAAAATGAATATTTAGTTTAAAAATGTCTATTTTATAATTATAACCTCAAAAAATTAAGAATATAAAAGTTTATTATAACACGCTATAGAAAACTGCTTGGTGATTAGGCGAGGCGAGACTCCAAGGGCGCCCTGTTGCCTAAGCGTCGCCTTGACAACTATGGGTCCATGTAGATCCTAGCAAATGTTGACTATATGTCCCTCCATTCCACAATAGGTGCACTTCCTAGGACCATTACCTTGTCGTCTACCACAAACTCTCCTTGAATCCCGACCTCCACCACCTTGGCTAAACATAATACCACCACAACCTCCTCTAACTCCACGACCACCTCCTCGATTTCCACAGCCTCCTCTTGCTACAGAAAATGCTGACCTATCAGAAGTAGTAGTGCTTTCTATAGGTCCAAGGAAAATCCTTCGAAGTTGAGCAACACCTCCTCAAGAGAGGGGAGAACAGAACCACCCAATATCTGTGCTCTAACTGGATCATATTCTGACTTCAAACCCACCAGAAATCTGGTCACATCAAGCTATTCCCTCTGTTGTTGCTGAACTAAACATTTGAGGTTAGGGGATGGTAGACATTGAATTAATTCATGAGGATTCTTATACTAGCATAGTATTCTTCAAGGCTTTGATTTCCTTGTTGCAAGTTGAAATACTCTTAGTAGAGCTAGTGTACTCTTGTAGTGTTATCCTGACCAAAGCAGTATTTTAAAAGTGCAAGGTGTAGGGGTCAATTTGCGCTTGAGGCGCAAGGTGCAAGGCGAGGCGCACGCCTTTTTGAAGCAAGGTGCAAAAATACAAAAAAATGCTAAAACTCAAAAAAAGTCAGAAAATTCAAAAAATAATGCCAAAAAATTCAATAAAAATAAAAAATATAAACATAAATTTTAAAATAATGTTTTTAAAAAACCTATTATCTAAAATTAAAAATACATAAACATAAGATGTAAAGCATATTCAAATGAGAATTTAAAAATAAAATCAAACATGTAAAACATTTTCAAGCATGTAAAACCTCTAATCTCTTTTTTCACTCAATTGCATTACTTCAAGTAGCTAATGTAATGTAAAACATATTACGTTCCTGATTCTACGAGCTGCCTTTGTGCCACGCCCCTCGAGGCAAGCCCAAACAAGTCCACGCTAGGTCTTAAATTCTTAATTTTCACACAAAACAATGATTTTATAGTTTTAATTGCTTTTTAAGAAGACATTTTATTAGGATGAATGAATGAACAACATTACCAAACTGGGGGGGCCCTCGGAGCGTCAAAAAAAGCAAAAAAGGTGCACGCCTGGGCTGAGGCGCAAGACGCATCAGGCGCATGCCTAGGTGCACCAAGCGTGCGTCTTTTGAAAGGGCTGCGCCTAGGACCTAGGCGAGGTGCATACCCTGAAACACGCCTCGCCTGTGCGCCTAGGCGCGCCTCACTGGACCAAAGTAGAGTTTCTTAGCATGATACCGTATCTCCTTGTTTGTGTCTAGGAACATAAAGTTTCACTTATTTTGGGCTCCGTACTATTCCACAACCATGTCATAATCTGAGCATCTTCTTGCTTCCACTCACTATACCCTTGAGATTCAGTTGAGGGTTTCTCATCCTTCACATGCTTCTTAGCCCTAAGAAAAACCTCCACCGATTTGGCCCATGACACATAATTCTCACCATTAAGTTCGATTGATGTCATTTACACACTTATGCCATAATATTGTCTACTCAAGAACTATAGACACCACCACTATTATAGTGCTACCTACTGACAAAACCGATTGTTACACACCAAACAAATATGCCATTACCTGGGCATTACAGCAGTTCACTCACCTTCTAACAGCACCTTTCAGTCCACATGGCAAGGAGAGACATGTAAGAACAACACCTGGAATGCATTCTGCAACTTTCTCCATCACACAATTCAGCCCTACAGTCCCTTATCTCACTCTGCTACCTAGAAAGAAAGGAAAAGAAAAGAAAGGAGTGATTCCAATCTCCTAGTCCTAGGAAGTGAAATCGCAGCCTTGCTTCTCTCTTTAGTGCTCTGATACCATGTTTTAATATTTCAGCCCTTATGTTGCAGTCATAGGTTGTAGATAGAAGAGGGAAAGAAAGAGAGAGAGAAAGAGAGAAGAGCATGGTCTAGACTAGAGAGAATAAATTCTATCCCAGCCAACCTCAAGCTTATATAGATATGCTAAGATTACAAACAAAGACTAATATGCCCCTACTTAATTGTTGGGACGTGCAACTTAAAGTAAGACATAAGTGACAAAGCACAACTTAATAAAGAGATACAAGACTAATCTGTTTAGCCGACTCTAACACCAGTTTTCTCCTTGCAATTGTTCATGGATATCTAGCATAATTGTTGCTGTAGTATTACTTCTAGTCAATGTTTTAAAATGTAGAGGTGTGACACGAGGCGTAGTTCAGAACGTAAGAGGCATAAGCCTCCTTAAGAGGGGGATGAGGAGGATCTCATTTTTCTTTATTTTTAATAAAAATCTTTTATATTAAGAAGAATGAAGATGCATAGACTAGCTAGGGGGGTATCTGGGGGTGAAGTCCCTGGCCCTCTTTCCTCTTCTCTTTCCTTCACTTTCCTTCTCTTTCCTTTTCTTTCTTTTTCTTTCCCTTTACTTTACTTTCCTTTCTTTTCTTTATTCTTTTTTTTTCTGTCTTTTTTATATGAAGTGTGTGTGAGGTGAATATATGCCTCTTGATGTCAATGCCTTTGGCATATGCCTCTAGGCATTTTGGTGGCGCACCTCCAGGTGTACGCTTCACACACCTTTTAAAGCACTGCTTTTGGTGAATTCGTTGTTAAGCAGGTTGTGAGCTCCTTAATGGTTGAAAGTGAAATTGAAGTTGGGTTTGATTGCTTTAGAGGTAATATTTTATAATTTAATTATTTTATCTATTTAAAGACAAAGTAGTAAGTGATTCAGTTCAACCATTTCATCTATTATCAAACAGCCCCTAAGGCTGATACAATGAAATTTGGGTTAAAGCACTTGACCAGGAGGTTTACGGCTGTTGGAATATGGAATTAAAAGGGAGTTGACATTAAGGATATTGATAATTGGTAAATGGTTGGGATGATATTTTCTTGATGAGTTAACATAAGATTTGGATGTACTTGCTGTATTTATTCGATGCCAGGTAGATGACATTGGATGAGGGAAATGCAATTGGACTATTGGCCATCATCATATATATTTAGACACATATAGTCAATAAAGATGTGCAAATGTGGAGTATAGACGAGATATTCTCCCAAAGAAAAAACAAGTTTTGTTCATTTAATAATGCATCTATATTTGTAGCTTTCCTTGAGGCAAAACTCTTAATTCTACTTATCACTGCAAGCATGAAGCATTCTTAGTCTGATTGTACTATGTGCAGGGAGATCTTGAGTCCTACACACACATACTCTCTCTCACTTGATACATGCAAGCCCCATATTGTTTTAGCTAACTACTCAGTTGGGTTTGGATTTTGTTTCTCCGCGGTGAACTTAAGACAAATAATTATACATTTCAGGTGCGAGTGAAGGCTGCTTTAAACAAGCAATCCAAGACCAGGTTGATTGGGCCAAACTGCCCAGGCATTATCAAGCCAGGAGAGTGTAAAATTGGAATCATGCCTGGGTACATTCACAAACCAGGACGTGTAGGGATTGTTTCTCGATCTGGTACCTTGACGTATGAAGCGGTAAGATCTCATTCTTGATGCTCTTTTGTGTTGATTCAAGGGTCAACGTTGCTACTCTGACTAATAGTTGTTCTCTGGTGTTATTGCATCTTCACAGGATATTCATAAAAAAAAAGAAAATGCATCTTCACAGGATCCATTTAATTGTTTTTTCTATGACATCTATGCTGAAACCAATTTTACCAATACAAAGATTATCAAATAAAATATCATTTGTTTAGTTCTGTTTTTGCTGGCTTTCCAGTTTCCATCTTGTTCCCCATATTCTTTTACCGTTAAAAATGTATTTGGATGCATTAGATTTGGATACTCAATATCCCATGTTTTACCTTGGTCAATAAACCTGCGCAGGTATAGGTAATAGTGTGATGTTATTCATCTTGTCTGAAAATTTTGATGAAATTTTTTATTCCCTACAGGTCTTCCAAACAACTGCTGTTGGCCTAGGTCAATCAACCTGTGTAGGCATTGGTGGTGACCCTTTTAATGGGACCAACTTTGTTGATTGTATGAATAAATTCCTTGTGGATCCTCAGACTGAAGGTGTGTACTGTTTTTATAGATGAATGTAATCTTTATTTGATGGCTGCCAATGTTGAATCCTCTAGGTCCTTCTGAAAATATTATCAGAATAAATCAAGTGTTTTGTTCTTAATTCATAGGAAGTGTTTGGTAAAAATCTTTCATTGTTTAGTCATGGTAATATCATCTTTCATTGTTTAGTCATGGTAAATTATCATCTAATGATCATGAACTATATTAAAAACTTAGTTTATAATTTGCTACTTGTAATATCCTTCATTAAGTTACGGAAGATATAATGTTTATGTTGTTAATGTATATTAAAAGTACTGTAACAAGTTTTCTTTTTTTTTAGAAGCATTTGTGCTGACTAAAATTTGTTAAAATTTCATATTCTATGAAAAGACATAAGGTATGGAAATGTTTCAAACATAATGATTGTAAAACCTAATGATGAATGACAAAGAGAGCTCGGTGGGCAACCAAATGGAGGCAAAGTCTAGTGGCGCAGAAGAAAACTAATTAGCAATTATTCTTCCTTTAATCAGAAAAATACAAGTAGTGTGAGGTTAAGAGAGTAAGAGAAGAGAAGAGAGAAGAAGGAAGGAGAACATTCAGTCGTACAACTCTCTCCAGCCCCCAATCACTTTTATTAATAATAATTAGAAACTAATATGGCAATTAGAAGATTGCCCTTAATGGGGCGACTGACGATAACTATAAGGAAAAAAAGGCTAAAGGCCCATAACTCAAACTAATCAATGAACAACAAAACATAAAAGACTATGATCCATCCAGCCTAGTATTTCTACACTCCTCAAGCTGAGCATAGATGTCAATCATGCCTAGCTTGCTTAGATATTGCTGCAATTTCGCTTTAGGAACTCCCTTGGTAAATGCATAAGCCGGTTGCTCTTTATTGGATGGTGGTGTTACATTTATGAGAAGAGGAAAGTTGTTAAATTGTTGTAGGTAGACCTGTTCATGGGCCGGGCCGGGCTTTCACTCTGTATTAACAGATTTTTCTAAGGCCCGAGCCCGGCCCGATCCTCATAAAAAGCCCGAAGCCCGAGCCTAGTCCCAAGCCTGAAATTTAGCCCATGTTGTTACTACTACTGAAGTGGTTGAATAGAGAGTGAGAGAGTGAGAGAGAAATTATAAAGAAAAAATAAAAAAATGTATATATTAAATTATAAATACATATATATATTTCAATAACCATTATATTATTTATATATTTTATATAATATATAAAATACATAATATATAATGCTGAGTCGGGCTGGGCCAGGCTCGGGCCCGGCTTTTTTGACAAATCTTGAGCCCGTCCCGTAACACAGTCGGGCTTACTGTGTTAGGCCCGAGGTCAGGCCCGCGGGCCTAATTACATGACCAAGCCCGACCGGCCCATGAACAGGTCTAGTTGTAGGGGGTAGAGGTGTCTTGTAAGTGGGTCAAAAGAGATGCAAATGCTGTTGCTGATACACTTGTTAAGGGTGGGAAGGAATGGCTTATTTCTAGGCTTTGTTGTATTATTTATGTTGGGGAGGGTGAAGAGAGTTTCTCCCTTCCCTTTCTTATTATACTCAATTTCTTCTTATGATGAAATTGATTTTGTTATTTGTTATAATTCAGGTCTGCCTTAGAGTTCGGCCTGACTGAGTTCAGTTATGTAGAAGAAGAAAAAGTGATAAAGAAAGAGAGAGAGAGGAGAGAATTCTGTTTCGAACTGAAAGTGTCAACTTACTTTCTCCCAATCGGCCAGTAAGTATTTATATTATTATTAAAACATAACTGAAAAGACCTATGTGCCCTTACTTAAGTTAAGAGCACA